GGTCAGTGTCGCGTCCCCATGGCAACCGCGTACCGGGCTCAGGGAAGAGACAGAGCCCCAGGTGATGAATGAGCAGGAGGGAGATGCCCTGCCTCCTCCTGTCTCGCATCAAACCTGGGCTCGAGGTAGACTCCTCCGCTGCAGGAGTCCTGACCTTGTTCCTGGAGAACCTGAGCCTGAAACCTGAGTGGAGGATCCAGATCCCGCTGACACCCTGCAGCCTTGCTGTGTCCTCAGCAGCAAAGGTCCAGCTTGTGATTCAAGGTGACAGGAAGGTCCAAGAGCTTTAGATCTCAGATGGGGATTCTAACTGGCTATGCCCTTAGAATGTTCCTGGAACAAGGCAGCTTTTGTGAGGGAGGAAGAGGGATCCCAGAAGCAGGGACCGCTCCTAGGACGCCAGTCAGTTGGCCCCAGACCTCAGTAGAGATAGATGGAAGGGGCAAAGACTCTTGCTCAGCCTGAAGCAGTTTGGGTCCTCCTGCCAGAACCACGGTCATAGCCAGATTCTCGAAGACTGGGGTGATGGTGGACGTTGTGGTCCAGCTTTCAGGAGGAATGTCAGCTGTGGCTGGGAGGGGACGGGACGGGAAGGCAAAAAGGAACAGAAGGTACTGCCTGTTGGGGAGCTGTGAGGCAGCGTGTGGGAAGAAGGGCTTACCAGCCACAGAGAAGAGGCAGCGTGTGGGAAGAAGGGCTTACCAGCCACAGAGAAGGAAACTACCTCCTTCGTCCCTTCGCCTTTTCTCCACTCCCAGATTCTGAGTGGCTCGCTCACTACAGCACAACTAGCCCTATGCTGATGCCCCCTCTGATAGAATCCGAGATGGTACTGCAGGAAGGGTCCTTAAGTCTTACCTGTTCTCTGCTTAAAGATGGGAGTGGGATAGGGTGGGAAGGAAATGGTTCTTCTTTCACTTAACTTACCTGCTCCTAGTCACACATTTTGTTGTGGCAGAAACAAGAGCAGACGTGGAATCTCTTGATGGTCCAAGCAGGTGTTTTCTGCTTTAACAACAGATAAGTCAGAACCCGTTTGTTGTTTTTAATCAAAAGATACGTTTGAGATACCTAAAACTTGAGTTAAAGCAAACTTTTTTTTTCCTTTCGAAAAAGACCAGCCCTTAAAAACCCCGTCCCTTTTTTCAGAACCTAGTGGGATTCTCTGCCTTATACTGAACATTACAACTTGATATATTTTTGCTCAGCATCAGTTTTAATGAAAGTGTTATGTTCCATTCCTTGGCTTTTCCTAATTTGTTTATTTAGTGTACTGTATTGCTTACATTTTTCTGTTTTAAAGCATACATTGTTAGTAAATCAGGAGAAAAACATTTTTTAAAGATTTTATTTTTAAGTAATTTCTGCACCCAACTTGGGGCTCGAACCTACAACCCCGAGATCAAGAGTCATGCGCCCCGCCAGTTGAGCCAGCCAGATGCAAATGTTTTTACATTTAAAAACTAGTATGTCCAAGCACTCCGGATTTTTGCATGGGCTGCTCCCTCCTGTCATCCTTTCTGTCCCTTCTCAAGGCATCTCCACTTCAGGGGTGTTTTGGCATCAGCTGTGTGGAGTTTTTCAGGCTGGCAGCATCTCTCATGTTGGTTCTTTCCTTCTCAGCTGTACCCTCACGGTTATCCACACTCTTCCAGGGCCAACAGAAAATGATCACATCCCAGGTGAGTTGTTCATTTATTCACAGTTTTGCCAAACAGTGATTATGGGAGGTTCATAAAATGTCTGTACCTTCATGTGAAATAGTAGAAACGGATACGTTAACATCAGGGAAAATGCAGAGCGCAAGTCAACAAATTACAGTACGTGGGCCAAATACAGCCTGCTGCTTATTTTTCTATGGCCCACAAATTAAGAACTTTTAGGTGGTTGAGAAACAAATCAAGAGTAGTATTTTGTGATAGGAAATTGTATGGAATTCAGTGTCTATAAAGTTTTACTGGGCCATAGCCATGCTCGTTCATTTGTGGTTGTGGCTACTTTCATATCATAGGGGTAGAGTTGAGTGGTTGTGACAGAGACTGTGTGGCTTGGCAAGCCTAAGATATTTATTATGTGGCCATTTACCAAAAATGTTTGCAGTTCGCCGACATCCGATATAGTAGGGCAAAGATGCCTCGTAGATAAATGCACATCTTGTGATCTTACTGAGTTTTGAAACTGGAACATAAAAACCTTTTTTGATAAGCCTCATCTGCTGGCATTGTGTACCTTCCAGTGACAGTCCTGCAGTTACACATAAAGAAGTGGTAGGCAGAGAATACTTCTCGTGAATTGTGCCAGCATTAGGACTCCTGGTTGTTCAAAGAAGGAGCAAGTTTGGGCAGACCACAGTGATTAGTGGTAGTCAGTAGATGAGATAGGCTTTGTGACAGTCCTGGGGATTGCGCAGAATCTACATTTTTGCAGTCTGGTGAGGGATTCCACTCTTTGAATTGTGGTAAAATACATATAATGTGAAATTTGCATTTGAACCCTTTTAAAGTGTAGAATTCAGTTGCACTTAATACATTCACAGTGTTGTACAACCATAACCACCCTCTCCTTCCAGAATAGTTTCATCACGTCAAAAGGAAACCCCATACCTTTAATGAGCAGTGCCATGACTTAATGAGCAAATTACTCCCCAGTCTACCCAGCCCCTAGCAACCACTAACCTGCTTTCTGTTTATGGATTTGTCTATTCTGGATAGCTCATATAAATGGAATCATACAATATGTAGTCTTTAATGGGTGGCTTCTTTGACTTACCTTAATGTTTTGAAAACCCATCCATGTCGTAGCATGTACCACTACTTTTATGACTGAATGATATTCCACTGATGTATAGTCCACCTTTTGTGTATCTATCAGGTGATGGGCATTTGGAGTGATTCCATGTTTGGCTGTTGAGAACAGTGCTGCTATGAGCATTCATGTACAAGTTTTTGTTTGAAGACCTATTTCACTTCTTTCCTGGGAGTAAAATTGATGGGTCATCCTACGTTTAACTTACTGCGAAACCACCAAACTATGTTCTACAGCAAGGTCCCTTGCAAGTCCATATGAATTTTAGGTTAGCCTTTCTATTTCTGCAAAGAAAAGGCTGTTGAGGTTTTGGTGAGGATTGCATTGAATCTGTGCATCACTTTGGGGAATATTGACATTTTAACAATATTAGGGTTTACAATCCATGAACGTGAGATTTTTTTCCACTTACTTAGGTCTTCTTTAATTTCTTTCAGCAATGTTTTGTAGTTTTTGGCGTGCAAATCTTACATATCCTTGCTCAAATTTATTCTTAAGTATTGTATTCTTTTATTTATTTTTATTTTTTTCAAGTCTGAGACCAGGAGAAGTCTGTTCTATTCTCTTTTTTTTTATTAACATGTAATGTATTATTTGTTTCAGGGGACAGGTCTGTGATTCATCAGTCTTACACAATTCACAGCGCTCACCGTAGCACATACCCTCCCCAGTGTCCATCACCCAGCCACCCCATCCCTCCCACCCCCCACCACTCCAGCAACCCTCAGTTTGTTTCCTGAGATTAAGTCTCTTATGGTTTGTCTCCCTCTCTGTTTTCATCTTGTTTCATTTTTCCCTCCCTTTCCCTATGATCCTGTCTTGTTTCTCAAATTCCTCATATCAGTGAGGTCATAAGATAATTGTCTTTCTCTGATTGACTTATTTTGCTTAGCATATACCCTCTAGTTCCATCCATGTTGTTGCAAATGGCAAGATTTCTTTCTTTTTTGATGGCTGCATAATATTCCATTGTATATATATATATACACCACATTTTTATCCATTCATCTGTTGATGGCCACTCTGGAAAACAGTATGGAGGTTCCTCAAAAAGTTGAAAATAGAGCTACCCTATGACCCAGCAATTGCACTACTGGGTATTTACCCCAAAGATACAAATGTAGTGATCTGAAGAGACATGTGTACCCCAATGTTTATATCAGCAATGTGCACAATAGCCAACCTATGGAAAGAGCCCAGATGTATTGTATTCTTTTAGATGCTATTGTAAATGAAACTGTTTTCTTAATACAACTCTAATTAATTTCTCTTTCAGCTTAGCTGAAAGCAAGTCACTGAAAACCACTTGACTTGTAAAGGAGATGTTATCCATTCTCACTCACCAATCATTCCCTCCTTTGATGTTCTGGAGGTTTTTGGGTCATGGGGGTATTGCACCTTAGTAAGATTTTCCGCTTTCTTTGTGAGTATATTTTTTTTGGTAAGGAACATGTAAGTAGACATTTTTAGCCTAATATGAAATGCTCTGTCCTTTATATTGAGAATTTGTTCTCATTTTGTTGCGGTTACTGTTATGTGGTTTTAACTCCTTCATCTTTCATTGTAATTTTATTCCCCACACTTTATGTTTTTAAAAAATTTATTGAGGTGAAATTCACATGCAAAATTAACTATTTTAAAGTGACCAAATCAATTCAGTGGCATTTAGAACATTCACAGTGTTATGCAACCACTACCTTAACTGAGTTTCAAAATACTCCCATCATTCTAAATAAAGCCCTTTACTCATTAAGGAGTTTCTCCCCATTCTCTTATTCACCTTATCCCTGGCAACCAGCAGTCTGTGTTCTGTCTCTATGGATTGATCTATTTTGTGTATTTCATACAAATGGAGTCATTCAGTATATGGCCATTTGTGTCTAGCTTCTTTCACTTAGCATGTTTTCAAGGTTCATCCATGTTGTAGTACATATCAGTGCATTTTTACTTTTTCTTTTTTATTGTGGTGAAATACAAATAACATAAAATTTACCATCTTAAACATTTTTAAGTGTACGCTTCAGTGGTGTTAAATACATTAACATTGTTGTGCATCTGTCACTCCATTCATCCCTGTAGTCTTTCATCTTGTAAAACTGAAATTCTGTACCTATTAAACAATAACTCCCCACTGGAAAGTACCCTGATACTTCCTGTTTCTGTAATTTTGACTACCCTAACTACCTCATATAAGTGGAATCCTGTAGTATTTGTCCTTGTGTGACTGCCTTATTTCATTTAGCATAATGTTCTCAAGTTTCATCCATGTTATAGCATACTGCAGACTTTTTTTCCGTTTTTAAGGCTGAGTAATATCCCATTGTATGTGTATATACATTTTGTTTATCCATTCATCTGTCCATGGACACGAGTTGCTCTGAGTTTTAGCTTTTGTGAATAACAATGCTGCTGTGAAAATGAGTGTACAGACATCTTTTTGAGACCTTCTTTTGAATATTTACCTTGAAATAGAATTGCTGGGTCATATGGTAAATTCTGTTTTTAATTTTTTGAGGAATCTCCATAGTGTTTTTCACAGTGGTTGTACCATTTTACATTCCCGCCAACAGTGCATGGGAGTTCCATTTTCTTTACATCCACACCAACAGTTGTTTTCTGTGTTTTGGATAGTAGCAATCCTAATGGGTGTGAGGTGGTATCTTATTGTAGCTTTGATTTGTATTTCCCTAATGATTCATGATATTGAGCATCTTTTCTTGTGTTTATTGACCATTTGTATATCTTCTTTGGAGAAATATCTGTTCAAGTCCATTGCCCATTTTTGAATTGGGTTGTTTGGGGTTTTTATGTTACTGAATTTTAGGAGTTTATATATTCTGGATATTAATCCCTTATCAGCTGTATGACTTACAGATATTTTCTCCTGTTCTGTGGATTGCCTTTTTACTCTGGATAGTAACTTTTGTTGTGAAAATATTTTCACTTTCATGAGAAATTTGTCAGTTTCTTCTTTTGTTACCCATGCCTTTGGTGTCTTATCCAAGAAATCATTGCCAAATCCAGTGTTGTGTAGCTTTTGTCCTATATTTTCTCCTAAGAGTTTTATAGTTTTAGGTCTTACATTAAGGTACTATATCTATTTTGAGTTGATTTTTGTATATGGTGTTAGGTAAGGGTCCAGCTTCATTCTTTTGCATGTGGCTATCCAGTTTCTCCAGTGCCATTTGATGAAAAGACTGTCATTTTCCCATTGAATGGTCTTATCAACCTTGTCAAAAATCATTTAACAGTATATGTGAGGGTTTATTTCTGGACTCTCTTTTCTATTCCATTGGTCTATATGTTTCTTTTTATGCTGGTACCATCCTTTTTTGATTACTGTGGCCTTGTATTAAGTTTTGAAATCAGGAAGTATGAGTCTTCTACTTTTGTTCTTTTTCAAGATTGTTGTGGATATTCAGGTTTCTTTAGATTCCGTATGAATTTTAGGATGAATTTTTTCATTTCTCCAAAATATATCATTGGGATTTTGCTAGGGATTTCATTGAATCTGTAGATTGCTTTGAGTAATATTGACATTTTAACAGTAAGCTTTCTAATCCATGTACATGGGATGTGTTTCCATTTATTTATGTTGTCTTTATTTATTTATTTTTAAAGATTTTATTTATTTATTTGACAGAGACACTGTGAGAGAGCGAACACAAGCAGAAGGAGTGGGAGAGGGAGAAACAGGCTTCCCGCTGAGCAGGGAGCCTGATGCAGGGCTCGATCCCAGGACCCTGGGATCATGACCTGAGCCAAAGGCAGATGCTTAACGACTGAGCCACCCAGGCACCCCTATTTATGTCTTCTTTTATGTCTTTCAGGACTGTTTTGTAGTTTTCATTGTGCAAATCTTTTACATCTTTGGTTACATTAATTTCTAAGATTTCTTTTGATGCTTTTGTAAATGGAATTGCTTTTGTAATTTCCTTTTCAGATTGTTCATTGTTCCTGTATAGAAGTGCAACTCATTTTTGTGTGTTGACATATCTTGCTACTTTGCTGAATTCATTTAGTTGATCTGACAGCATTTTTTGTGGAGTCTTTAGGTTTTTCTACATATAAGAGTCTATCATTTGCACAGATTATTTTACTTTTTCCTTTTCAATTTGAATACCTTTTATTTCTTTTTCTTGTCTAATGCTGTGACTAGAACTTCCGGTACTGTGTTGGATAGAAGTGGTGAAAGCAGGCAGCCTTGCCTTGCTCCTGATCTTAGAAGAATAGCTTTCAACCTTTCACCATTGAGTATAATTTTTCCTGTATTTTTTACATACATGGCTTTTATCATGTGGGGTTAGTTCACTTCTATTCCTATTTTGTTGAGTGTTGTTATCATGAAAGATTGTTGGACTTTGTCAGATGCTTTTTCTGCATCAATTAAGATGGTCATTTTGTTTTTTCCTTCATTGTGTTGATGTGGTGTATTATACTGATCGATTGTTGTATGTTGAACCATACTTGGATTCCAAGAATAGATCTACCTGGTCATGGTATATAATCCATTTTATTTTATTTTTCAATTGAAGTATAATTAACATAAAATTTTATATTAGTTTAAGGTGTACAACATACTGATTCAGCAATTCTATACATTAGTCAATACTTACCACAATAATACTTACCACAATACTTACCACTTGTGTAGTCACCAGCTGTTGCCATACATGATTACAATATTATTGACTTTATTTGCTGCTCTGTACTTTTCTTTTTTTTTTAAGATTTTATTTATTTATTTGACAGAGAGAGACGCAGCAAGAGAGGGAACACAAGCAGGGGGAGTGGAAGAGGGAGAAGCAGGCTTCCTGCCAAGCAGGGAGCCCCACGCAGGGCTCAATCCCAGGACCCCAGGATCATGACCTGAGCCGAAGGCAGCCGCTTAACGACTGAGCCACCCAGGCGCCCCTGCTCTGTACTTTTCATCTCCATGATTTATTTATTTTTTAACTGGAAGTTTATAACTCTTAATCCTTTTTCTCAGCAATCTCCTACCCACCTCCCCTCTGGCACCACCAGTTTGTTCTCTGTATTTATGGGTCTATTTTTTTTTTAATTTGTTTTGTTTTTCAGATTCCACATGTAAGTGAAATCATACGGTATTTGTCTTTTTCTGTCTGACTTATTTCACTTAGCATAATACCTTTTAGGTCCACCCATTTTGTCAGGAATGACAAGATCTCATTCTTTTTTATGGCTGAGTAATATTCTGTTGTGTCTGTATATCAAATCTTTCTTCATTCATCTATCAGTGGACTGGGTTGCTTCCATATCTTAGCTATTGTAAATAAAGCTGCAGTAAAAGGTGCATATATCTTTACAAATTAGTTTTTTTTTTTCCTTTGGGTAGATGCCCAAAGAAAGTGGAATTACTGGATCTTAAGATATTTCTATTTTAATATTTTGAGGAACCTCCATACTGTTTTGCACAGTGGCTGCACCAATTCCATTCCCACCCAGAATTCACAAGGCTCCCTTTTTCTCCACATCCTCACCAACACTTGTTATTTCTTTTTGATAGTTGGCACTCTGACTGGTGTGAGGTGATATCTCATTGTGGTTTTTAATTTGCATTTCCCTGATGATGAGTGATGTTGAGCATCTTTTCATGTGTCTGTTGGCCATCTGTATGTCTTCTTTAATCAGTGTTTTTTTGTTTTGTTTTGTTTTGATGTTGAGTTGTTTATGCCCTTTATATATTTTGGATGTTAATCCCTTATTGGATATATCATTTGCAGATATTTTTTTCCATTTACTGGGTTGCTTTTTGTTTCATTGATGGGTGCCTTTGTGCAAAATCTTTTCATTTTGGTGTAGTTGCAATAGTTTATTTTTACTTTGTTTCCCTTGCCTTAGAAGACATATCTAGAAAAACATTTCTATGGCCAATGTCAAAGAAATTACCGGCTATGTTTTCTAATGGTTTTATGGTTTCAGGTCTCACATTTAGACGTCTAATCTCTTTTAAGTTTATTTTTGTGTATGGCATAAGAAAGTGGAGCAATTTCGTTATTTTGCATGTAGCTGTCTAGACTTCCCAGCATCACTTGTTGAAGAGACTTGTCTTTTTCTCAGTCTTTATTCTTGCTTCCTTTGTCGTAGATTAATTGTCCAAATAGGTATGGGTTTATTTCTGGGGTCTCTGTTCTGTTCCATTGATCTTTGTATCTTGTTTTGTGCCAATACCATATATTTTGATTACTATAGCTTTGTAGTGTATTACAGTCTTTTACTATGCTGCTGAATTCTGTTTGATAATATTTTGTTGAGGATTTTTTACATCAATGTTCATAAAGGATATTGGTCTCTAGGTTTCTTTTCTCTTTAAAACAATTTATTTAAACAAATAAAGAAGAATTTACCCATTTCCCCCACTTCACCCCCCCACCTCTGGCAATCACCGATTTGTTTTCTGTATGAACGTATTTTTTTTTAAGATTCCACATATCGGAGAGATCACATGGTACTTGTCTTTCTCTTTCTGACTTATTTCACTTAGCATAATGCCACAAAGTCCATCCATGTTGTTGTAAATGGCAAGGTTTCATTCTTTTTTATGGTTGAATAATATTCCATTGTGTGTGTGTGTGTGTGTATACATACCACAATTTCTTTATGCATTCATCTGTGGATGGACTATTAGGTTGTTTCCATATCTTGGATATTGTAAATAATGCTGCAGTAAACATGAGGGTGTATATAACCTTTTGAGTTAATGTTTTTATTTTCTTTGGATAAATACCCAGAAGTGGACTTGCTGGATCATATGATAGTTCTAGTTTTAGTTTTTTGAAGACCCTCCATCCTGTTTTCCATAGCACCAGTTTAAATTCCCTCCAACAGTGCACACGGGTTCCTTTTCTTTACATCCTCGCCAACACCTGATGTTACTTCTTGTGTTTTTGATAGCCATTCTAACAGGTATAAGGTAATATGACTGTGGTCTTGATTTGCATCTCCCTAATAATTAATAATTTTGAGAATCTTTTTAATGAACCTATTAGCCATCTCTATGTCTTCTTTGAATAATGACAATTCAGATCTTTTGCCCATTTTTTAATCAGATTCTTTTTTCTTTCTTTTTTTTTTTTTTTTTTACAAATGAGTTGTATGAGTTCTTTATATATTTTGGATATCAGTCCCTTATTAGATATATTACTTGGAAATATTTTCTCCTATTTAGTAGGTTGCCTTTCCATTTTGTTGATGATTTTCTTCAGTGTGCAAAAATTTTTAGTTATGATGTAGTCCCACTTATTTATTCTTTCTTTTGTTGCTTTTGCTTGTGGTGTCAAATCTAAAATCATTGCCTAGACCTATGTCAAGGAGCTTACCACCTGTGTTTTTTCTAGGCATTTTATGGTTTCATATTTTCCTGTTTCTTTGTATGCCTTGTGATTTTTTGAGTGAACATTGGGCATTTGAATCTAATAATGTGGCAACTCTGAAAATCAGATTCTCCCCATTCTGCAATGTTTGCTGTATTTTCTTATTGTTTTTGTTTATTTTTATTTATTTTTTGATTGTCGTAGGCTTTCTCTGTGCCAAGGACCAGCCTGATGTGTAAAGTTAATGTCTCCTTAGGTGTATTCTGAGCCTTTCCTTGGGTATGCACAGTTACTTTATAATTCTCCTAGGATATGCAGTTGTTTTTGAATGTCCTGGTCTTCAATGTCTGGTTCTTGAAGGGGGAAAAGCAAAGAATGAAGGAGGAGAAAATGAAAAGGGAAAAACACAAACTGAAGGGGACTTGCAGCAACTGGGGGAAATGCATCAACAGTGGCTATGTGCCTCTTTGCATCTGTGTGATCAGAGGCACCGGTCACAGTCAGAGCATGGGAACTTGCACAGAACCCCTTTATGATTCCTGTCTGTGTTGCACATGTTCGTGGTGTGGATTCTTTAAGTCTATGGTAGCTTTGTCTTCATAGGTTTCCTTATGAGAATAACTTCTTTGAGACCAGGAAGAGTATTTTATTCAACTTGGAATTCTCAGAAACTAGGGCAGTTCCAGGTACATGTGAGCACTCAGATTTTTTGTATTAAATAACAAAATAATTCAACAATGGTATTTCTATTTTTTTTTTTTTTACTCACAAAGTATAACACAAAATAAGGTATATGGTAGAGGTCCATAGTAACATTTTCTGGCCAGTTTTCAACAGTAAAAAATGGTAAGAATTAGTCTTTGAACTTCTTTTTTTTTCATATCACCTGATTCTGATCACTTCAGACTGAGCAGAAATGTGCTTTTTCAGGAATCCTTGTCATTCAGGGATGTGACTGTGGGCTTCACCCAGGAGGAGTGGCAGCACCTGGACCCTGCTCAGAGAACCCTGTACAGGGATGTGATGCTGGAGAACTACAGTCACCTTGTCTCAGTGGGTAGGTAGTGTTTGTTTGTCACGGAGACCCCCGGTATGTGTGTCTTTTTTTATTTGCAGAAACTTGCAGAGTTTTTGTAGAATATAATAATATTTAGCTTTGGAATTTGGAGGTCAAGGATGACTTATCTCTTTTGGTTATCAGAAGGAATTTGTTTTCTTCTCCCTCATAACAGCGATTAAGTTAATTTTTTTTTTTTTATTGTATAGTCTTTGAGTTATTATGTCCTCCACTTTCAGAGGCCCTGAAGCTTATCCAGTTTGTCCCAAATCACACACCTCTCATTCACAGGTTGTTCCATTCCTAAACCAGAAGTGATCCTCAAGTTGGAGCAAGGAGAGGAGCCGTGGATTTTAGAGGAAGAGATCCCAAGCCAGAGTAACCCAGGTGAGTTAGTACGTATGAGCCAGATGGAGTTTAGGAGGAAATTGGATCACAAAGGGTTAGTTCAGAGCTTTAAAGCCATTGAAATGTCTTCAGGAATCACCTTTTAGAGGTTCTGGACCTTTGGAAGTAGCATGTTGACATGACTCAAATATTCAGTGTCACTGGATCATCCAGTATCTCCCAGTGTCACTTTTATACACAAATGTTATCTTTTTTCCCCCTTAGGAATAAATTATATAGCATTAAGTACACAGATCTTAAGTGTACACATGTACTATATATGCATGTATGTATTCTTACTATACATATGTGTATATAGAGTGTATATATATATATATATACACACACACACACACATATATATAGTATCTGGCTACTTTGGTTCAGTATTATGTCCATGAGATACATCCATGTTGTGTATATCATTAGTTTATTGCTTTATATTGCTGTGTAGCATTCCACTGTGACTATCCCAGAGTTTATCTCTTTATTATATTATTAAAACATAGTTAGGATACATATTTGAAACATATTTGTTTTGAAACGTACTTGTTTTGAGTTTTGAGGTATTTGAAAAACATTTATAATTATTCTTGAGTGTGTCTTTTTGAGGAGGACGTAAACTCTTAACTTCCGTTAGATGTATGACCAGAAGTGGACTTGCTGGGTAGAGTAATCACATATTCAGCTTTAACAATATTTTTTAGTTTAAGCAGTTTTCCAGAGAGGTTGTACTAAATTGTGTTGCCACTGGCAGTGTATGAGAGCTTTAAGTGCAGTTTGTTATTGTCAGCACTTGGTATCATCAATCTAATTTAGCCATTTTAGTCATTGTGTTGTGCTACCTCATTAGGTTTTCATTCCCATTTCTCTGATGACTGATGATGTTAAGCATCTTGTCATATATTTGTTGGCTATTTGGAACTTCTTTAGCAAAGTTAACTGTTCAGGTCTTTTGCCTGTATTCTTTTACTGGATCATTAGTCTTTTTCTATTGAACTATAGAAGTTTTAAAATAGATTCCAAATACGAATCTTTGGCAGATGTATGTATTGAAAATACCGTTTCTCAATTATGGCTTGTCTTTCCATTCTCGTGAGGACTTCTGATAACAGTTAAAAAGACTGTCCTTTCTCCTGCTGAATTGTGGTTTTACCTTTGTTATTTATCAGGTGACCGTATATTTGTGGTTTTGTTTCTGGGCTTTCTGTTTTGTTCCTTTGGGTGATTTATCCATCTTCTTGACAATACCATTGTCTTTTATCTTTATAGTTTAATTATTTATAAGTCATGACATCTGGCAGTGTTAGCCTTCTAGCTTTGCTATTTTCTTCAAGGTTGCCTGGTTGTAGCATGAATACAGAATGTTGCCAAGAACATTTTAATCTACAAAATATATTAAAATAATTTCTATGTTTCCAGATATTATGGACAATGCTATGATACTATGAGCTTTTGCATTTAAATATAAATTTTAGAATCAGCTTGTCAGTTTTCACAAATGCGCGCACACACACCCATATGCCTATACCTACTGTTTTAGGGCTTTTATTGGGATTGCATTGATCATTTTGGAGAGAATTGACATCTAATGCTAGTGTATAGAAAAACAGTTGGTATTTGCACACTGGCCATGTATCCTGCAACCTTGCTAAGTTTACTTATTTTGGTAGTTGTTTTATAGATTTCTGAAAAATTTTTAGGTCAATAATTGTGTTCTCTATGAATAAAGACAAGTTTACTTCTCCTTCCTAATGTTTATACCTTTTTTCTTTTCTTTGCCTATTGTACTGGCTGAGAATGCCAGTAACATGTTGTACAGAAGAGGTGAAGGTGAACATCTTTGTCTTGTTCTTGACTTCAGAGAGAAACTATTGAGTATTTTAGAATTAATTTTGATTTTAACTGAAGGATTTCTATAAATATGCCTTATCATTTTGAGGAAGTTCTCTTCTATTCCTAGTTTCCTAAGAGGGTTTTTGTTTTTAAAGATTTACTTATTTATTTTAGAGAGACAGAACCAGCATGTGTGTGATGGGGAGAGGGAGAGAGAGAGTGTGTTAAGCAGACTCTGCGCTGAGCAGGGAGCCCAATGTGGCTCGATCTTACAACCCTGAGATCACAACCTGAGCCAAAACCAAGAGTAAGATGCTTAACTGACTGTGCTACCTGCCCCCCCTTTTTTGAATCATGAATGAGTATTGGATTTTGTCAAATACTTTTTCTGCATGTATTGAGATAATCATGCTTTTTCATATTTATTCTGTTAATATGGTGAGTAATATATTGATTAATTTTCCAACGTTAAGCCAACCTGTTGTGTCTGAAATACATCCTCCCTCATAATGTATTTTGCTCTTGTAATCACTGAATTTGGCTTTTCACTATTTTATGTAGGATTTTTCTGTGTGTGTATGTTCATGAGAACTGTTATCCTTAATTGTCCTTCACTGTAACGTTTTCAGGTTTGGTGTTGAAGACTGTACCACTTTCCTAAGATGAGTTGAGCAGTGCTTTATACTTTTCTATTCTATGGATGATACTATGTGAGATTATGTTATTTAACGTTTGATAGATTTCACTTGTGAAGCTTTTGGGGTCTGAAGTTATCTCTTGGTGGAGATTTTAAATTTCAGACTGTTAAATTTTTAGTTTATCTTTGGTAATTTTACCATAAATACAGCACACGAGGTTCCTGGAATAGAGAGGATGAATTAGTATTTGCTTAAAACTGAGTAACAACTTTGTGGCCCCAGTGTGCCTAAGTCTCTGACTCGGAGCAATGAGACAGAAACCAGGTGTTCCACACATACATACAAAGTTGGTATTTTGGGTGAAAAATACTGATAAAATGAATGTGGGTGTTTCTGTAGAAGAGAGAGGTAGCTGTCCCCCTACCCTTTTAAAAGGAGAGAGGAAAACCTTTCCTCCCTCGGGAAGGATTCTGAGTTCACACTCTAACCCTTTGGACTACGAGTACATTTCTTCAGGGGAGAAAGAAGACCCTTGTCTCCAGCCTTATACCCAGCATGTCACCAGGGCCCCCAGTTCCAATGCCCCCACTGAAATGTGAGTCTCTCTGGAGTCTGTCTCTATCTAATTAGTCATAAATTACTTTCCAAGCCTCATTCTTTTACCTTAAGCTCCAAGTTTTATTGAGATTTGCTCGAAAAGTCCTAGCTGTGCAGAAACAAAATTTATTTTCCCTACAGCCCCGCACAACCACTCATTTTATTTCTGACTTCTGGCCAGTTTTTCTGTGTGTGTGCCTTGCCATTCCTTCATCATTTTGTTTTAGTCTTTAACCATCAAGGTCTGTCTTAGAAAGCTAGATGCTCTTCAGGTATTTCCATTCACTTTTTTTTTTAACCTGGCCTGAGGCATCAAACCAGGGGCTGCAGTTTGTATTAGTATTTTGCCCTAACTTTGCCTTGACCTGCAAGAAAGAAGTCTGTGGCACATTCTGTTATCCATAGAGCTCTGGCCAGCCGGTTGAAGCTGACTTGAATGCCTTCCAGGCTGAGGCAGGGTCATGAAGCATTTCAGCTCAAGACAGGAACAGATTCTGTACCTCTTTCTAGCAGAATAACCACACTATAGGTAGTAAACCTGCTCCCAGAGGGCATATCTGAGGTCTCTTGCACCACCAGGTATTTCCTCAAATACGTGAATGTTTCTGATAACCACCCCTGTGTGGAGATCACACTTAGATTGCAAGTTAATGCCTTATTTTCACACATGCACACATGCAAGCACAGTCCCAGAGGGTACATGTGGAAATAACGATTTTGCAGTTGTTAGGCCCCCCAGCATGATTTCTCACTGTCTGGTAAGCTTTAGACTCCCCACCCCCAATGCCAGTCCAAATATTTGATTTTGTCCTCTTTTCAGAGGGACTGCCTGAAGGCAGTCAGTTCCAAACAGTCCCCTTTGTTCGTGACACCATTTCACTTGCCCCCCCTTCTCTATGGTGTGCATGACACCTGGAGGTGTTCCACAGGGACAGTGTAGGAGCTGCTATTGATCAGAGCATCAAGCAGGGATGCTGAGAAGTGAGTTGCTTCTAAAATCATTTTTTTCTAGTTATCCTTCGGTTCTTGAGTTCTAATTTAATACAGAGAATTTCAGTTTCTTGAAATAAATTCAGTTCCTTGAAATTTGTTGATACTGTCTGTTTTCATAAATGTTCCATGCTCACTTGAAAAGAAGGTATAGTCTATAATTGTTTTGTATAATGTTCTACAATGGTATTTTTTCAGGTCTTCTGTATTCTGATTGTCTTTTGTCTGCTGTTCTGTCAGATACTAAGACGTTTTAAAATCTCCAACTGTGATATTTCTTGAAGCTGTATTAGTAGGCAGACAGAAATTGCGGATTGTTACATCTCACTTTTTAATGGACTCTTCAACCATTATGCAGTGCCTGTCTCCATATATGCTGTGATACTTTTGCCTCTAAGTCTGATTCTGGTGTTAGTGTTGCCATACCAGCTTTCTTTTCCATCCTTTACTGTCAGCCTCACCATGTTCTTATATTTAAAGTATGTCTCTTATAAACTGAAAGCAGTAGTTGTTTGTTAAATCTAGTCTGACACTTAAAATTTTTTATTTATATTACTTAGTCCATTTATGTTTACTGGTATAATTGGACTTAAGCCTACAGTCTTGCTGTTTCTTTTCTTTATGTACCATGTCTTCTTTCTTCTCTTATTCCTCATTTCACAACTCCTTTTGGATTTAAAAAAATTTTTTTTAAACTTAATTCAATGCTTTATTTTTTTTAAGATTTTATTTATTTACTGGAGAGAGAGAGAGCACAGTCAGGGGGAGTGGCAGGCAGAGGGGGAAGCAGGCTCCCCGCTGAGCAAGGAGCCTGATGTGGGACTCGATCCCAGGACCCTGGGATCATGACCTGAGCTGAAGGCAGACGCTTAACCAACTGAGCCACCCAGGCGTCCCTCCTTTTGGATTTTTAAATTTTTATATTATTTTGCCTCTATT